GCATGAGCGCTTTAGTGTAGTGGAGCCTTTGAGATATTCAGTCATGATGATTTGGGTCACGTTTGTAGCCTTGTTAGTTTCGTGCGCACTAGGGAACAGGACCGTGGAGCGGGTACCGTTCTTTCACGGGCATGTATTTGAGAACTCATCTCCGGGCTCCCGGGTCAACGGACTGAGCGTCCCGTTAAAGCGACTCAACTCTCAGAGGCTGTGCAGTACCAAGGAGTCCGGCTCAGCGACAGCGTACTTTAAGCTCATGGGAGACGGGAGCGAAAATTTCCGTGTCTTTGCGCACCACAAACGCGGACATATTTTACTGAAGACTTATGTGATTCTGGACCGAGAGGAGCGGGCTGAATACGCACTGGGTCTCGAGTTGTGTTGTGGGCAATGCGCTGGACTCTCCTTGGAGGAGGAAGAGAAGTCTCCAGTGGTCGCTGAGGTGGCTTCCATTAAGGTGGATGTCCTCGATACCAACGACCACCAGCCTACTTTCCCCGGTGCTGACGTTAAACTGAGCCTGGATCATGCAACTGCCCTCCGCACGGCGATCTACACTGTAACCGCACGGGACGATGACAGCGGCAAGAACGCGGAGCTCATCTACTTCGCCGTGCCCAAAAACGGGAGTTTCTACGCGGTGCCCAAAACTGGCGACATCCTGCTGGTGGACTCAATCCTCGGTCTGGATGAAGTAATTAAGTTTGAAGTGTTTGCCCGCGACCGCGGTTGGCCACCTCGCACGAGTCAGGGTATCGCAGTGGAGATCAATCCAAGGCAATGCCCCGTGGCACCCTCGCTGAACTCCCAGCCGGGGAAATGGAAACCTAAACCGCAAAGTGATGTACTAGCGCGAAGGTCCAGGTCGGTGCTAGAATCAGAGAGCCCCGTTTTCATCAATGTGTCAGAAGATGCAGGAATCGGTTCAGTGGTGATGAACCTGAACTCGGTGAGGTTTCAGTCAGCTACGTTTGAGCTGGTAGAGCCCGATGTGGAAAGCTCACCGATTAGCGTGAGCCGGGACAGCGGGGACATAGTCATATCACGGAGACTGGACAGAGAGACTGAGCCTCTGGTGGAGATCACCGTCAAAGTTCAGGAGAAAAGAGGTGAGCAAAAGACCGAGCAGGCATGTGTGTGAGTGAGCAACCCGACAAGTGTGTGGTAGAGAGGATGTAAAGAGTGAGACCGAGAGACATCCCTTGTTTCCTGTGCTAGCTGTGTGGCACATTGTCCAGTGTATAAACATCATTAGATGTAAATCTTACGAAAAACGTTTTCTTCCGTCACTTTGTCCAGTTTTATGTCATTAGGTTGAATTTGTTGTGGTCGTAAATACCCATAGAGGAGGAGTGCCTTTACAAGGAGTCTAAATTTGATTCACATCATTTCCAGTGATTTTGTCCGAAGTAAACCATTTTTCTGCTACATTCTACAGTGTTGGTGGAGTTATAATATCGAATCACTGAAGTTCAATATGTGACCAATATCAAGTACCCGCTATTCTCTAGATAAATATTGTTGGGTTTACTGTTGTAGCAAAGCTAATTTTCTTCTGTAGGAGTTTTCCCTGGGGGTCACTGGACCCTGATCCAGTGGAAAAGATAGGAGTATTCCTGCTACTGTAAAAAGAAAAGAGAGAGAGAGAGAAGATAGTTATACTTTATTGGTCCCTGTTAGGAAATGTGTCCCAGCTAGTACAATGCATTTGAAACCTTACTAAGTATATACAGTAGGAGCAGGGTCAATGGGCAGCCATTGTGTCCAGCATCCTGAAATCAGAGTACTGGTGGAGGGAATGTTCTTTGAGGAGTGAGGAAACCCACATTAATGGGTGAAAATGCCACTCATACTCTAAAGGTCAGATGGGGTTGTAACCTCAGACCCTCTTGTTGTGGTAAGTGCTATCCTACTTCCTCATTTTACAACTCAGTATTCCCAGGCGGCTTCATGTCCATGCACAAACCAGGGCTGATCCTGCTTAGACTCTGAGATTAGAAAAGATCACATTTGCCCTTGGGAACCTGGCTGTAAGCAGTGTCAAAATGTCCCGTGTTTACAATAGAGGTTAACTGAGTAACATTCATTAGTGCTGATGATGAATCATGTGTTTAGATGAATTAAGGCAGTGTGAATGTATCTGCTGCCGTTGCCAACAGTGACAGATGCTGGGATGTCAGGAGATAGGCGCTGCACATAACGGCCACTGTACCAACAGGTTAATTATCACCTGCGGAAAAAGCTGAGTGAGAGAGGGAGAGTTAACATATTCACATTGCATATGTGAAGGCATCAAACGCTAGGCTAGACTGTCACACTGGAGATTGTAATAAAGAGTTCAAAATACATAGCCTCTAGAAAAAGTCTAATATTGATTTTGCACTTGCTTCTGTGTCTGTCTGTCTGTAAAACATGACTGGAAGGATGCAGCTCGAGAGTGTGTGTTCCATTAAGACCAGTTAACAGCATTTGACTGGGGGAGTGACCAATCAATGTGAACCATCCTAATGCAGAAAAAAAGCTGAGCCTGCTCTTGGCACACAGTGTTAATTTACACTCCCAGAAACTGCATGCAGGGTTGGCTATTTGTCACAAGAAACTTCTTTTTAAACTCATTAACACAGATGAAAAAATGTATGTTTTAAGCATTAAAACTGATAAGTTATCTCACAGCTTCAGCATTATAACATCCTCAGACTTCCTTTATAGAGCATCCGAAAAAAACAGCTTATGAGCGGATACCGTTTGATTATAACGTGGGACTCTGTTGGGATATTTGGCATCCAAATTCATCCAAGGTGCATTTTCACAGGCAAGTCTTCAAACTTCAGAACAAAGCTGATGAAATGTTTAAGTAGATGATATTTTTCCCTGCACACTGTCAGAAGTTAAATAGGTTTCGTCTTTTCAGAGAGTGTTATAATGTGCCCCGCCCCAAACACACACACACACACACACACACACACACACACACACACAAATTAATAAGATAGATAGATACTTTTATTACAGACTCAAGGTCCAGATGTATAAATGCTAAAAAACAAAACAAAACAAAACAATAAAACCACAGAACAATCAACAATAAATAACACTATAAAGACAACAACAACAACAACCAATAAACAACTACCCTTTTAAAAGGCAGGTATACCAGTGTTTCCAAAGTACTGAAGTATATCACATGTCAATATATGCAATATTAGTCAGCAATAAAACAATGTTGTTTCCAGAACTATTCAAATGACAAATAAATTTATACATCAAATTTCTTAAAACAACAGATAGTGTACTGATCCGAGATGACACAAACAATTCACTGGCACTCATCCATCTAGGCCTTTTCAATACTAACCTCAAGGCGTCATTATAGGCCACTGCCAGTTTCCTAAGACTACCTTTTTTATAATTAGAACATAGATGAGCAGTGTACAGGGAGGTACAGTACGCTCTAAACAAAGTCAATTTTACTCCATCCAAGCACAAACCATATTTCCGAACCAACACATTTGCTTGTGCATACAACATGTGGCACTGCCGATACATATCCCCGTCATCAGACAAGCAATCATTTATAACATGACCCAAGTACTTAACTTCATTACACAGTTAAAATGTTACCAGATAACTTAAAAAAAGGGAATGCGGCATATCATAATAACACTGTTAGCAGAATTGTACTTGACATCGTGAAGTTCCCCAAACAGAAAACATACATTCAAGAGCTGCTGGAGACCTGCTGAGTTTTGAGAGAACTCAAATACATGAGAGACAGCTGGAATAATAACACTCTTTATGAGAATGAATTTTCCAGATATTGGTGGAGAAGGAACAAAATAAAACAAGTTTTTTTGTCAGTTATAATAGATGTACATACTGTGTACAGGCAGTGACAAGTGTCCCGTTCTCTGCAAAGTGTCTTAAATGAATATGATGCTAAATACATTTTTATGAAGGGAAAGTTTGGTGCATAGGAAGTGCGTTTTTCTGTGTAATCCACCTTAATCCACCCAGATATAATAAATGTGCCTTTTATGTTAAGTATAAAAAAGATTAGTGTAATCACGGATTAGAGACACATCACATATTGTTTTTTGTGGACAAATCCCTTTTTGACCAGTGCTGGCTTGGCTGATTGAATCTGCAGTGTACCTTGACTGAAACTATAGATGATTTTCTCTGCTTTCCTTTAAAAGGATGCATGTTAATACATTTAAGGATGAACCCAAATGTTTCCTAAATGAATGAGTTTTTAAAAGGCCCCAAAGCCTTTATCCATTTATGTTTTGGATAAAATGGGAAGAAGGGGGGCAGTGCTTGAAATACATGACCTAACTATTTGCTGCATTATGCTGAAAGACGGCAAGGTTTAATTTCTGGGCTTAGCAGTGGGTGAGCCTCGGCTCAGCTTGGTGTCTGAAGCGTGAGGAACGCAGCATCTGTTTGGTTGTCGATGGCCCGGCTGTAGTCTTTTAATCCATTTGGAGTGGAAAGTTCTGAGAGACATTCAGACCCCCCCCCCATCTCCTCACATTATCCTGTAATCCCATCTCATACGCTCTATCTTTCTGCCTCATTTTCTCTCTCTCTCTTGGTAAAATGGTAAATGGACTGTATTTTATATAGCGCTTTCTCACAGTGTGTTGCACTGGCCAAAGCGCTTTACAGGAGATCATACACCATTCACCCATTCACACACTGATGATAACAGGCTGCCATGCACCGGCGCTAGTCAAGCCACCGGGAGCAGTTCGGGGTTCAGTGTCTTGCTCAGGGACACTTAGGCATTGCTGTCTTACTTTGTCATTCTTATTTTCACTCTCACTTGAGGGATTTTGTTTGAGTGGAAGCACAATTTAACAGTGAGAGAGAGAGAGACAGAGCTTTTGAGATGATTCTTTGAGGGACAGATGTGTGAGACCAGAAGCGTGTTGTGTATCAGGATTTAGGATCATTCATTCTTGTCTGTGTTTGTGGCCGACTTCATAAGTGTTACTGAGCTGCTGGAGTTTAGTATATGCACCTAACTGCATTACACAGACTACACTGTGGGGAAATTAAGTGGTTCACGGTCACACTGTGGGGGGACCTTAAGGGCAAAAGGCCTAGCCCCACAAGTTAAACATTACATTTTAGAGGAAAACACTGGTTTTGCTTAGAGCTGTACCTGACTAAGAATTTTGTCCTAGCCTAGACTATCTGAAACTGACATAAATTCAAGTGATGATTTGGACTACATCAGCATTTAAATGCAAAAATTGACAGAAGTATATTTCTAGGCGTTTAAAAATTAAAAAACAGCTGCAAATGATGCAAGATTTAAATTGTGACCTATTTAAATTGACGGTATATTATGTTGGGCTGCCATATGGATTTGCCAGAATAATAACACAGGCAGCACATGTACATTTGTGTTGAAATAATGTTCTTACTGTAGGTTTTTTTTTCTTCTGAGACATTGATATGGTCTAGTTTACCAACAAGTTTGAGTTTATCTGCCTGCGTGGGTTCTCTCTGGGTACTCCAGCTTCCTCCCACAGTCCAAAGAATTTCCTGTAGGAGTGAATATGGGTGTCTGTGGTTGTTTGTCTACATGTCAGCCCTGTGATGGACTGGCGATCTGTCCATGGTGGACCCTGCCTCTTGCCCAGTGCCAACTGGGATTGGCTCCAGCCTCTCTGTGACCCTGTTCAGGAATAAGTGGTATAGATTTGGATAAATAGATATGCTCTCGAGTAGTTTACTCAGTAATTCATATTTTATAAACTGATGTATTGTATGTAAAATATACTGTACCTCAAAACTGTACTTTAGTATAGTACTTGAGTAAATAGTTTATACTATTTATTTATTAAAGGGCCCTTAGACAAAATGATTTTATTGAGTATTGTATCACATGTTTATGACTCATTCATTCATTGTCTACCGCTTAATCCCTGAGCAGGGTCACAGAGCCAATCCCGGCCGGCAATCGGGCGAAGGCGGGGTACACCCTGGACAGGTCGCCAATCCATCGCAGGGCTAACACATAGACAAACAACCACACACATGCACTCCTATGGGCAATTTAGAGACACCAATCAACCTAAGCTGCATGTCTTTGGACTGT